TTCTTTATACCAAAAAGGGAAAAAATGAGTAAAAAAAATTACGTCTCTCTCCTATTTTTATTAAGCTTCAAACTAGACAATCCAAAATAAAATTTATATCTTTTTGTGCATGTGTTCTTATCTTAATGTTACAGGGTTTCTATATAAATGCCCTTTTATGTACTTATATCATTGTCTAACAAATATATATGGTTTTTAAGAAACATAAGAAAAACAGTAGCTAAAAAGTTGTTGCAAAGTTGTTGGAGAGTTACAACAAGGAAGAGAAGAGGAAAGCCACAAGTGTCTCCTTTTACATTACCTTAAAAGAATATAGCAAATAAATTGAGGAGATTGACATTATAAAGTTAAAAATGTAGATGCCAAGTTACGCATTATGGGTAATCGCTTTAGAATGACTATCAAAGAAGAAGATATTAGTTGCAAATCCTCAATAGGGCATCATGAATGAAGACAAAAAATAAGCTTTTTGATGATACTGCAACTATGCCAAGCATTTTGCCAACTTCTGGGAGCGGGCAACCAGCCAACACCTTGATGTTTCCAGTTATGGAAAGAAACTAATATGCTAATTTGACCATTAGTTTAAACAAAGAGGACAAGGAAGTTGATCATGAGAATTAAAAGATTAAGGAAACCACGGAACTGTAGAGTCCAAAGTCATGAGTGCAAAACAAACTGGTATACTTTTGGCAAGTCAGTTTGAAAATTTAATCCGAGATTTTGAATCAATGAAGGCAAAGATACTCGCCCTTCAAGCCAACCGTGAGCATGAAAACACTAACACTATCGAGAAGTCGGTAAGCTTCAAATTTTTGGAGCAGCTACGACACCTGAGTGACTTGAAGAAGAAACTTATTTCCTTATCTAGTCGCCTCGATACGTCAAGTGAAGTCGCCAAGGATGCTAAATGAGAGTTAAATGAATTAAGGATAAAGTCATACTATTGAAGAAGCCTGTTGTGCTCCTCAAATTAGTCAAATCATTAGGGCCTCAAGCTCTTACTTCATCCATGGATTCGTTGTGAATTTGTCTCCAAAGATGATGTTTTAGATCCCATTATGCAAGCATTACTATAAAAAACTATTTGGTCTCTTATGCGAAGTCAAGGATTGGTCAATGTTTTTGAGTTGTCTCTTTGCAAACCAGTTGCATTTAAATATTTTTCACATAAAAAGGAAAAGAAATTTCCTTAGAAACAAGTAGTTTTTCGTTTTTGTTTCTAATGTAAACTAATTTGATATAATGACTAATGACCGTTACGAATTATGGCGACTTGACTTTTGAAAAGCCATTTGAGTTTCTCAAGAACGCACCACTTCAAATCTCGGTGCAATCAATTAAAAAATATTGATGAGATGGATTAACATCTTGATTGGCATAGATGATAACATTAAATTTGATCTTATAGCATTCCAACTTCCACGACTTCGCTATAATAGCCCTTGAGATCTTCTTTTACCATTTCACAATCAAATTTCTCTTCAACTACATCCTCTTGTGCTAGATTGAATTCCTATCATAATGGTAAAGGCAGATTGGCAGTTTGCATTAATTATGATTGAGTATAACTTCAAGTTATAGTGCAAATAGTTGTTCAAAAACAATATCAAGATCCACATTCCTAAAAAAGATGAGTTATGCTCAGATCAATGATGCCAGAGGTGAAAGACCAAACCACAAGAATCAACTATTATTTATAGGAAAAAAGGATTTGCAACAGACATAAACTGGAAATAAACATCACCAAAACACAAACGACACAAATGGACACCTCGAGAGTATATCTCAAGGGCGGTGGAGATTGGTGGGAAGGTGGGGTAGCTGCTGGGAGCAGCGGGGCAGCAGTTGGGACGGCTGGCTGCTAGGAAAAGTGGAGGGGAAAGAGCTGGACAGTAGGTTATTGCAGCATAAAAGGGGCGGCAGCACAGGGGGAAGCGATTGGGGATAGCCGGCGGCTAAGGGAAGAGGAGGTGACGGAGTAGAGAATATAAAAAGGGAGATACAATCACCACCTCGGAGTATGGAGTAGGATACAGCCGGAGCATCATCACCTCCTCGGATACAACCCTAGAACGAAAGGGAGAATTAATCCACACAAAAAATCGGAAAGAATACCTACCCTAACTCTCTAAAAACAATAATATATAGACTACCATTGATTAAGGAAATGAAAAAACTAAAGAAGGAAACATCCTACACAACAAAGAAGAGGTGGGGAGTTAAGAAAATAAAAAATAGCCATTAAAATACTTCCATACGAAAAAGAGGCGGAACTGGAAGACGGACAGAGACGCAAAAGGTCGTTTGCCTCGTTAGGAAGCTCGGCCAAGCCGCTCTTCTTGGAAACCCCTTGGGCCGGTCAGGGTCTGCCCATTGCTCTCGTTCGAGCGGGAGCCTTCCCGCACCCTTGCCCCATCCACAAGGGGTTCTTCGCACCCGTGTTAATCTCCCGGGCTTGGGGGAGTTTTGAATTCATCGGTAGAAGCTTTTGACTCCTCGTGGCACGAAGTCAAGTCCCTTGATAAGTTGATCATGTCGGCGTTGTCATTCCACAACACATTCTGCTAGAATAGGTATCATCTATCTTTGGCACAACTTGAACAGTAACTATGGATAGACGGGTATTCTCTGATACCTTTAGCTCATCAAGAACATTGTTGAATTTCCAATACTCATATTTGAGTGTGTTGAATTCTTTGGCCAGTTTCTCTCCTGAAGAAAGCTTCATGGCAAGTTGTTGAGCAAAATATTGTGTTTCGGAAGATAATTCATCAGACATGGTTTGCAATGAATTTGCTTCATATTTTAGCTGTGAAACTGCTAACTTGGTTGCTTGAATTCTTCCAATGATTCTATCACTGTCTTCAAAATTAGAAACTAAATCATTATCAATCGAGTGGTCAGAACTCTAACCATGATTCCAATCTTTGCTAAGTTGGCTTGAAAGTTGCTTGTAATTGTGCTCTCTTTTCCTTGCGCTTGAATTATGACCAAGTGTAAATCTGATTACATCACCCGAGGCCACGCTTCTGAGACCATTGAGTTCATTTAAGCCTTAAAAATCATTCTTTCAGCGTATAAATTTTCTGAGGTGTACGATGAACCATCAACTCCATCAACTGGATCTTCATAATCTTCATCCAACTCACCCACCTCCCCCAGAGAAAGAAGCCCTGCGGTATTGCCCTTGAACCTGACCCTTGCATTAATCTCAACTGAAGTCTTGATCTCAGGGTCCACTGGAATTAGTGGTGTCATTTTCTTGCTAGCTCAAGTAGAGACTCCTCCCGAAAGTCTTCATCTTCTCCCGTATCAACTGTGTCATTGCTAAATTTTTCAACAACACTCTACTCATTAAAACAGATCTCTCCATTGGTGGTGCATTCAGATTCCACATGCCCAAATCCATGGCACGTACAACAATTTCTGGCTGTGAAAGATTTAGGGATGCAACCTGGTCTCACCTATTCTTTACTCTAAATCAGTTTGTCCTCCGATGGGGTATTCTTGGGTGTTCCTCTGAGTGCACTTTGGCTATAAGAACCTAAGGTTAACCCTTGTGAAGTTTCAGTCTGTAGTAAGCTAGTAGAAACTAGTACTGTGTCTCCCACTTATCCTCAAATTATTTTGTTCCCCCCTTCAACTCTCTCGATCATGATTGACGATAACCTCCTATTGAATTTCATCCTCAATGTCTGTAAGCCTTCGCTGAAGTTAATGGATCTCTCGCCGTATCTTGCACAAATATGTTTGTGAGCTATACCAAAAATTGATCGAAATATGTTTGTGAGCTATACCAAAACTTTACTAACTTGCACAAAACAAGTCTAACAGAGAGTGAAAGATAGAACTAATATAAAAAGCTCTAGAATTTTACAAGATCTCTATCAAAAAGAATAAATTAATGTGACCCAAATCAATCAAAATTTGTCAAAATATGATTGATTATTATTGAAAGAGTGAGGCTCAACTTTTAACCTCCTATTTAATAGGTTTTCAACGTTCGATGTGTAGGTAAAATTACAAGTCAAGTTTGAGTAATATATGTAAAATTACAAGTCAAGTTTGAGTAATATATGTAAAATTACAAGTCAAATTTGTGAACAAAGCAAATGGATCTTCGACTTGTAGAATTTATAAGGAAAAAAGCAACTACAAATGTAGGAACTACGTTTCAACAATTATTCACATTTATTCAAGAATGACATTTTTTCAGCAACGATCATGAAAGTGGAAGTAAATAACTAATAGCCCTGAATGATTGAAAAAAAAAACAACTGTGTCGTGATATCATAATACAAATTGTATCAAGATGAACTTGAAACCCATTTAATTTTCTTTCAGCAATTGAAGATTTTGTATAGCACTAAACTCAGATAATTTAATGGTTTTTAAAAGCTATATTCACATGATGTGTATTATTCAAAGAGGTTGGTTTTTGAGCTATAAAAGGTAAAATGTATATAGATATATATCACAATAAACAAGTTCTTCGATCAAATTTGGCTTGAAATACATCAACAACAAAAATAATCATTTTCCATTCCTCTCTAACCGCATGACAACATTTCTTTTCTTTTTTTTTTTTCATTTTCTGGCAGCATTTTCTGGCAGGATGAGCTCTCCGAATCCAGTATCTTGTGATTCTTCATTTTATTTCCAACCATTGAGCCACACATTCTAGCACACAAGGCAACATGTCAGTCCTCATTCTAGCCATAAGATGCAAGAAATCCAAACTATAATAAATAATTCTCTTTTAAAATACTTTTCAAACAAAAACAAGAACAAAATCAACAATACAAGAAAACCAACGCACCCCAATCGATTCCATCATTCCAACTGCATATTAAGAACCAGATAAAGCATGCATATAGCATCATTGCAAATTTCATTAAACAGAAAACAATCAAACCACTCATCCCAATCACAAAACCCCCAATGCACCGATCCAAACATCTGATATCAGCCATAAATCCAGAACACAGAAAACTCACTTGTTACAGATGCTTTTCCCATCGGAATCCATGGAATATGGACCGAGAGCGAGCGAGAGAAAGGATGAACGAGAAGGTAGTGTGAGACTGCTCAACTTCTCTCCATCATCGCCGTCGACCGCTTTCTCTTATTTCTATTAGACAGCGACCACAGAGGCATGGAGAAGTAATGGAAAGTAGCAATTTTTACTATCAGACCTTTATCCTGCCCACAAAACTTAAATTTTGACTGCCACATTTCTAACTTCTAAATCATTTAAAAAGAAATCATAAATATGATGGGCATTTTAATCTAATAATTTTAAAAATATTAAATTGGTTCTTAAACATTTTTTTATATATTTTTAAAACAATTTCAAATTTTATAGTTTAGCACTTTTAAATAATTTTGGATTTAAATAGCAGCATGTAAATAATCATATATCATTTTAATATTCATCTTTTTATGGGCAAATTTTATTCTTGAAGAAATTTAATGAATTAAAAATTTTCTTTATTTTTTCCTCATAGGAATGTGTTTTTATTTTTTATGTAGCAAAGAAAAATTTTAATGTTTTAATCAGCATCTATTTTCTGACACATGAGCATAGAGTTTGTATTACAGTGGAGTCTAAAGGCATTTGTTTGAGTAGATCTAAAATTTTATACATAGAATACAGTTTTAGTAGTAGTGGTTCAATGGCAGAGCTGTAACTATAGGTGATAAAATCATTAAAATATGTGAATATTTTAGATATCTCGGGTCTGCTGTTCAAAGTGATGGTGACATAGATGAAGATTTTATTAGTAGAATTCAGGCTGGTTGGATGAAGTGGAGGAATGCATCAGGTCTATTATGTGATAGAAAAATATAGCTTATGCTTAAGTTAAAATTTTATAAGATGGTGGTGAGGCATGCAATGATCTGTGGCACAGAATGTTGGTTTTTGAAATAGAAGCATGTGTTGTTGAGATGAGAATGCTTAATTAGATGAGTGGCCCAATACTTAAAGACAAAATGTAGAATGAATCTATCCATGAAAGATATGGTTTCAGTTGCAGAAAATATTTGAATCATCTTAGATGATTTTGTCATGTTAAACATCGACCAGGCCATCGAGCTATTTGTTAATTTTATATATATTTAATATATAATCCTATGAATTATAAATTTGTGTATTTAATAATAATCCTATGAATTTTATATATATATATATATATATATATATATATATATAAAAAAAACAATTATATATAT